TCGTACTGGTTCTTCAACTTTCATTAACTAACAACAAGAATTGTCTAATCGTTTACACTAGATAACAAGCAGATTGATGTAACATGAAAAGCACCTTTAGAGATATATATAAATAAATAAATCGTCGAGTAAAAGATCGCGTGGTCAGCGCCATTTATAAAGTCGTCAAAAACGTCCGCTCGTAAAGTGTTAGTCGGTTAGTCGACAGCATCGATCGACACTTCGAAAACCGTAGGTATATTCATCAACTTGTATGTAGCAACGAGGTATAACGACACGAAGTGTATAAATATTTTCATGGCAAGAGTGCAACCATTGAGAGAATATTGCTGTCGGTTAACGCCAATGTCGGTCAAACATGGTCCCGACGAACTTTTTTCGGTCGACACAGTACCGGTGCAGCCCGCGTCTGTGATTTCGATGTAACCCCGTAAAAGGATACGGTCGCGACACACAGCAATCACGAGCAGAGTGCAAAAAGCTGTGACCATTTGCAAGTCTCTTACAAGCTTCGCCAAATTAGGACTCTCCGAGATCTTAAATCTTAGGTACAAGAGAATTAATTCTCCCGAACAGACGTTTGTTCCTTTCTCAGCGTACAGTCCGTGCATTTCGAAGAACGAATAAATTTTCATGCAGAGATGTTTAATTGAAATATATACATAGCTATAAGAAAATTGGATGAAGACGGATCGTAAAGTTGGGACGTATCGCGAAAAGATCAATTCCATGAATTGTAATAAAGTAACTTAACCAGGTCAAAATAGTTGATTCAGCGAAGAAGTCACGCGACTAAGTTCTCATCGATTGTTTTAGAGCAAAGGTTAACACAATGCGGAAAGTTCGAAAATTATAGGTCAAAGGGACAACATAAATCAACGCTTGGACGTCTTTCGGTGAAATAGAATCATCAAATCGTTAACTCATCTTCTTTGGTATTCCCATCCGTCCCCTTCACAAATCACGTTCCCGTTACAAGTGTTAGAAGTGTGAATTGAATGAAACTGTTATTGGAGCTAGAGTTGCTTACAATTTGCAACGTTGAAGCGATGCATGTACTATCTTTAGCAATTCTGATTGCGTCATATCCATCGACCTTTCTTTACAGCTCAAGGTAAGCACAAGTCGAGACCAAGTCGCACAGAGCGAAAGGCATTTCGTGTAAAAGCGACCTTAAACTTTCCGTGTACGTGAGGCGTATCCCTTGACTACGTTTCACGATGCCACGTACAGGTGGGCAAGATTAGAAATTTCTGCAGAATTATTTTAACCTTGTCCGTATGCTGATCGAGTAATTAATTTATCTGGAGTTTGTGTTTCGCGAACGTCGATTCGAAAAATATATAATTTTTCAACCCCTCGGTAACAATACAATTTCTATTGAAGGTAACTTCGATCATGAAGAGTGAAACGCAGAAAAGTTTTCGGAATTTATTCTATAACGCTTATAAACTGAAAATAAACATGTGCAATTAAATATGTAGTATTGATTAATCAGGACGAAACGATTATGTTAACTATAACATTTTGTTGACCATTATTTAGTTACTTTCTTGTATTTATCGGTTTACAATACACAATGTCGGAAGTGGTGCGCAGCGAGGAAAAGTTACACAGAAGTTCCCCGAAGAAGCAAAAAAAAACGAATTGTTAGGGAGTTACCGACGTTACTCGATAACACAGGCTACATTCATTGTAATTACGAGAAATACCTCTGATTCGTGCGGAAGGAAACTGCAAAGAGGAGCTCGAGCAATAAACAGTTTCACTGTTCGAGTCGTTCCGTTGCGATGAATAACAAAAGTCGAGAAACGCTGGTTGCTCGATGCCGGGTATTATTCATAACTTTAGATCGATAAATACCGTACACTCGTTTCGTACCTACTTTCAGGGAAAGTAACCGTTCAGTTTTACATTGTAACCAAACAGAAGGGGAGAAAACTACAACAAAGGAACAGGGGGAAACGTCTAGTTCGCGTGGTAATCGAATTCAAGCGCGATGATATCTGAACATTTCTATAAAAATTGTAAACCGTCATCGTGACCCTGATCGCGGATACCAAATTAAGGTAACAAACTACTTCAAAGTTGTAAGAAAAACGAAGTTGCAACGTAAGGACGTATCAAGATGTTACGCGCGAAGTATAGCTGCGAAGAAATGTTTAAAACATCGCATCGTTTGTAAAGGTCACGTGTGCTATGCACATTACATTAACTGACGATTATGGAAAATGTCCTGGTATCGTGCTTTTGTGTTATACTTTCTTATGAAATGTCACTTGACATGTATTACATAAATGAAAATAATTAATGTTTGAATACTACAGTCGTAGAAATTAATCGGAAAAATTCACGATATGCGTTGAGAAATGTAATTGCGTTCAGTTGACCTACATGTGGCAGTTTTTCAAATTTCGGTTTCATACGGTAAACTTGAAGAAAAAGAAGAAACTATGAAAAATTCAGCGCGATCGTTGCAATTGATTACGTAGATTGATCTTCTTGCTTCTTTTCGCGGTTTCTTTGGAAATCTTCGCCGGTTGTTTTAGAGTAATGAGTCACACTGTCCTCAATTCCCCACCCTTTTGCTCATGTAATTTAATGAATACGTGTTACTTTAATAGCTTTACATTTCACGTTTTAATTTGCCCTTGACCAGTACCCCGGAAGAAAGAAGACTGCAGACAGTAACGTTTTTATGAGACGCGATAGTAATATAATGTCTGATAGTAAAAACAATAATATTTCTCTTATCTGAGATAGTGATGCAATGTTGACTCAGGTTAAACTTCTTAGTTAACACAATGTAGCGTAGAAATCACTTCGAAATACTGAATAAATATTCAACACTTCAGCTTTCAATAACGTGACACTATAATCTTGCGACAAATTGAAAATTCAATGAACTGTTATAGTAATTAAACTTCAACAAAGGAAGAATTGCTATTCATTTCCTGCTAAAAAGGATATTAAAACCTTAATACTTGAAATATAAATAGATTTAACAACTCGATCAAATCCCAAATATTTAACGAAGACAAAAAAAAAATGCAAAATAATGATTGTCGTTGAATAAACGTGAGTCTGTTTCATTGGAATACGACTGATTAAAAAATAACAGTCTAAGGCCATAATTAATAGACTGTAACGACACCGTGCCATTATTTCTTATTATACGGATGAATGGTGTGCATTAATTTTATTAACAATAATAAAAAACAGAACGCAAACTACAATTATATCATGACAGAACTAAATCATCGTCATAAATAGGAAATATAGTATGTGTGCGTAATAAATCTTTCATTATCATGGCATAATCATTCAGTAAGGACCGTTTCCTAACTTAGTTACGCTCATGAATTTATTTTTACAAATCTCCAGTGTCTTTATCTGACTCGGAAAGTGATATTAAAGTAACCTATCAGTTACAAACGCGTTGATGATTAGGAGGCAACGCGTCTTGTATGTGCTTCCGCAAAAATGATTGCCTCAATGTTCAACTTTGGGAGACACTTGAACGCCATTCTCATTCATGCTGCTCTACAATTAAAGCGACCATGATCTCGAGACACGCATTGCTCGACCTTAACAATGATCGCACGAATTGCCGCGTCAGTGATCATCGTCTGGCGAGACGAGCAAACACCGGACGCGCATCGGTTAACTTTTTTCAGTATCTCGAAAAAGGAATTCAGCGGTCTGAGTCAGCGGTAATTCGTTTGGTCGCGTCGATACCGGCCCGTGATGAAACGTACGAGGAAAGTCATCGAATCTGAATGCGCCAACTGTAATTAGGTGCAATATAAAATGACGAAATAAACTGTAAAATCTAACAAAGTGTTATAAAGATCTTGAAAACTAAATTTTATACTTTGTATGTGTAACGGAAATGGTACTCTTCGAAAAAAGTAGTAGACACAAATGGTACCAGCATTTTTTAATTTCAATCTCAGGCGTTGTAAATGTCACAATTTTTATATTAAAAATAAGAAGCTAAAGTATTTGTAGTATATTAATTATATAATGATTTACATATTCTATGGATACATTACGCACGTTTTAGTACTACACTTGAACAATGCTTATTTTACACTTGAAAATAATTGTTCATTTGTGAATGTTTTATCATTTCAGTATGTGAACTACATTAACCAATTCTCAGGGAGTGAACTATGAAGTTGAGGATTATTCATGAGAAAAATTGGGTCATTCAGTGTATACTAACAATGTAACTACGAATTTAAAAAATTTTGATTATGTCACTTGATTCCTTGTAAAAAGACGATTGGTATACCGAGCAGTCATGTTTTTTTTTAACTATCTGCATTGGACTTCATAATGTTTTATAAAACAAGTTTCTCGTTTCCAATTATAAGGACCATTTCCAAGGTGAACACCAAATCAATTAGGCATAAAAACTAACTTCTGATGATTTGCTATTAGACACAGTTTCATTACGAATCGGCACGTATGTGCCGACTGACATTCCTTGTTGGCCCCAGTCTGGCAGCAGTCTGTCTCGTTGACCGATCGACTGTGATTTCGACGGGGATTAGCCACGTCAGTGATCCGTCAAATCGCGGTAATTTCCCCGCATCTACGTATCGATCCGTCATAATTTTCGTAGGTGAAGTAAAACATCGGTTGGTTCGAAACTTCATCGATCTGTCGACCGTTTTCGTGGTAACAACGTTCGAAAGTTATACCCACATTCGCTAATGATGCGTCGTAATCTTTTTCCTCGCGTTCCCGCCTTTCAACGGTCGCTTTCGAAATGAGCATTCAAACTGCGTTCGATGTATCGAATGAACACGATCGGAACAGCACGACGCGCGTGCAATGTTCTTAACCTATTATTTTAAGGTCTCGCCGGCTGACGCTCGTGTTAGCGTCGTCGATTCGTGTTAGCAGTTATAACGGTTCCCGAGGAACCAACGAGGAAAAGAACAAACAGAAAAAAAGAAAAATGAAAGTACGGATGGTAACGTCTGTCGCACCTTTAACAGCCGTTGAACACAACAGCGCGACGAGGCAGACCCAGGCGATGATCGTCATCTCGAGGTGGCTCGTAGATCTGATGCACATCACAAAAAAACCCACTGTCTAACTTCCTTTTTGCTGTTTTGCAGCGATGAAACCTCGATGACCGCGCGTTTCGGAACGGACGGAGCACAAAAAAACTCGTTGGTCGCTCGTGGTACGTCGCGAGCGCGGGTCGCGTGAAGACACGGTGTAGCCGGAAACTTTTCTCTTTTTCTCGGGAGAACGGGGAAAGGAAGAAAGAGATCGACAGGACTTAACAAACGTCAATTCGAATGTAAGTGTCCCGACTCGACGCGAGTGCCAACCAGATAGCTCGGCGCGCGAAGACCGTCTGCCGCGCGCTTTGCTTTCGGCCCGCTTCGTGAGACATCGGCAAGAGCCGAGATCGCCCGAACGCCCCGATCCCCCGATAGCGGCGTTTGATATCGTTCACGGTATACCTACTTTCGTGCCTAACCTACGTGCACACGCACTTTACCGTATTCCTGGCATTATGTGTTTATTTCGTGTGTTGCACGCGGTTCGGCGCAGCCATGGTTCTCTGTCTCTCTACGGATGAATTCGCAAGGATACACGCGCGTGAGTATGCTTCTGTTTCCTTTCCTTTTTTCTCTTGATGCAAATGCATCCATACTCGATGCTTCGCGAGTCAACGTTCAATCCCACGATCGGCCATCTTTACAGCGATCGGTTGTATGTTTAAATATAATGCCTCTTTCTTCATTTTTTTTTCTCTTCGTTTCTCTTTTTAGTAACGGTTTCTTGTCGGTGAAAGGTTGAATTGAACTGGTTCCAGTGCTCTGTTAATAATTACTTCATTGGGAATACGGGGAAAGGAGTTAACAAGTTTTTTGGTCGTGCAGTTAATGGACCCGTTTTTCTTCTAGTTATTTAAAAGAGAAAATTATTTTCCCGTTAAAGATTCAGTAGAAAGTACATACGGTGAAATGTGTGATTGTGGGATTGATATTACTTGGTTGTGGGAATTTATCTAATCTAATAGCTAGAATTGTATATTACTTCAATGAGATAGGAACCGTAGTTTCTTTACTAGTTGCTTAATTAATTACTGAATAAATCGAAAATTTACTGATTAACTAGAGAAGTTATAAATAGAAATTTATTATAGCTGGTTAATCTGATGCAATTTGAATACGAGTGTTTAAATACAAGTTGACCCCGAAACAAGTTCAACCTGTCGCTACACGTACTCTATATGTGCCTCTTCAAATAATAACGGATATGCCAAGTTATGATCGATGCACTGTAAGCCGACTTTTGACACGAAAAAGTAAATATTTGAATATTCGGATGGTAAGCACATCTATAGGTAGACTTACTGCAGATATACATCTGCTCTGGGTCACATAGGTTTCCATCGATAGTCTGCGTCGTACTTTCATTCATTGGTGCGCAGTGCATATGCCTTTGAAGGCAAAACATTTTCTCTTAACTCCTTAAGTGGAAATGAATATTCTCGTATGCAATACTTCGCGCGAAATTTAATTCAATAAATTATTTTATAAATTTCCCATGTCAGGGAAAAATAATTTTCTTTACTTTCTTAAACAGATTGAATAGAATCTACACCTGACCCTCAATTTACGCGAAAATTTGTTCCACGTGGGTTCGTTTTACGCGAACGAAAATCACGGAAATAGATCTTGTCGGTACAAGAGAAAACAAAATATTGAAGACAAAAGTTGGTATAAGTTTTAGAAATACATATTTATTTTACATAGCTTAACCAAAGAAATAATAATAATGACATTTTAGAAAACAAATGTATATTTTATTCGCTGTTACCAAATTCAGATCGCGTAAATTTAGATCTCGTAAATTGAGATCGCACGTAAGAACTACCGCGTAAATAGTGTTCCAATTTACTATATTATTTTAGCTTCCTTTACTAAAACACATTTGATTTGAAATAAATTACTAAGACAAATTGTTCAACTAATTCCTATTGCTAAAAGTACTTAAACATTACGAAACACTTTCGAAAAGTGTTAAAAGCAATGGTATTTAAAGAGAAATCAATAAAAATTGGCGTAAACGGATTGAGGGCAATAGGGATACTGACCGATCAGTAAAAGTCGGTGGAAGCCATAGGTGACTCCAACAGATTGGTACAAGAGAATAGAGACGAAGAAACACTAATTGAAGACAATGGAGGCAGAGGAATTAGTAAAAATCGATCCGGAGTAGGAGGAGCTGGTAGAACGTGGTAGATGAGAGATTAACGGGAAACGCGTGTAGACTTGTAATATACCACTTTCGGTATCATGAGTCTTGACAGGCCCGTGAGGCAGTCCAACGGTTTTAGCTGTTCCGTGTGATCTCGATGGTGGAGTAGATGCGGAAGGTCTCAAGGTCGCCGGAGGTCTTGATGGCGGCAAGAGGTGAGGGATCTCGGGAGTCTTGAGGTCCAAATCCGTGGGATCTCGCGGACCTTCGAGACCTCAACACTTCCGGGACTCCTGATACTTCTTTCCTTTGAACCTTTGTACCATTGGAGCTAACCCTGTATTTAGACTCCGAGGACTTCTCCGAAGCTGCAGGTGTTTTAGTTGAAGTCTGTTATCATCTATTCATCTCTGCTAGCGTATATATACCTCTATTATCCCCTAACAATTCTTCTTTGTACATTTATACTGTCAGCTTTCTTTACTATAATTGTAATTTGTCGTCGAATTTATTTAGATGTGTTACTTTTAAAAAAAACTGTACTGCGCAGAGAATTGTTTTTTGTTAAGAAAGATTTTTTTTACAGGAGTAGTTTCTCCTCTCATGATCATTGCACACTAAAGATTTAAACTTCTTATCCAAAAGTTACGAAGACAACTGCTGCAATATTATCGAACGGGAAGCTCGCTATCAGACATGAAATAAAAACATACGATGCGGTTGTAATGATAGTGTTGCTGCAGTCTAATTTACACTGCTACTACTATTAACTGAAATATTTATACGTTTACTTCGTAAATTTCAAACATTTCGCGACAGTAAATTTTCATAACGTACCATTTACCGTTTTCTAAGATTTTCATAGTGAACATTTAACAATGATCGATATCGCGTTTTCACAAAAACGTCGAGCTCCTAAGGCTGTTATTATACGCAAGCATAAGGAAAGTTTAAGATATAGCAGCGTCTACAGATGCACAGATTAGGGTACAGCTTCGGGAAGAAATTATCACAGCATTGAACCGCAGAAACGTATTGTCAAGATAGAAAGGGTCGTGCGCAGGTAGGGCGATATCGAGGAACGATACTACCCACACCAGACCCAAGCACGGTTAGACTGGATGTGGCTTGGAAGCGCGCAAGTGTACGGTCGTGTGTATTATGACAATGCTTTCCTATCGATGTTTACCCGGCGATAACGTTCCTGGGTCGTAGGAATACGATTCCCCACGATGGCGTACGTGACCGATATGTCGGAGGCCGTCTAGGGACCGCAGCAACAGCAACAACAGCGGCGAGCCGTAGGTTAAGGGGACCGCGTTAAGAAATGCAGTTTCGGAATTTATCAGTTAAGATAACAACAACTTCGGGTTCGCACATGGTATTCAGATGAACATACGAGACGGGAGTGGAAAGAAGTGTATCGCCTTAACAGAGCCACTTAAAACTTTTATGTTCCCTTATGCAATCAGTTTTAAACACGAAACGTAAATTCATTTCCCTTCCGTATAAAGTTTCGCTCTGAGACAGGTAACAATTTAAAGTTTTCAACCCCTAACCCCGCTCCATCCCGACGCGTACAAGGAAGTTAACAAATTTTCATTAGATATTTTTTCCCTCTGATTCCCAGCTACATAGTTATAAATTTTGTCGATAGTTTAAGAGCTTCGGTTTCGTAACTGGCAATAAAATAATTAACACAAATTAATACTGACTGGCTACAACGTCCTGATAAATTATTGAAAACTGTTAACGAATGGAATAGTTAGAATGTAGGACATTTGTATTAATATGTATGTTATACATATTAACACACTTATACATGTTGATACCAACATTTTCAGGACATTTTTGGGAATTTTGGGTTATGGTCAGGCAATCTCTACACCAGACCTTTGTTTCTGTATAACGATAGAGGAACACTCCTATGGATTTCGCTAATCGAGTTGCCAACTATTGTATAGGCACACACGTAAACATAATCGCGTTACCAACGGTTGAACCTACTACTACCGACGTCTAAATCAATTAAACGGGTAGGAACATTTAGTTACATTCTTATTGCACGAGTATGGTGTACGTGAAAATATTATACAGATAATAAGTAAGATTAATAATCAACTGAATGTTAGTTAAAAAAAATACAAAAATATTGAAGATATTGAACGATGGTTTAAATGATAATATAGATTCATTGTAATTATATCATAGGTATATTATAGTATAATTACAATGATAAAATAATATAATTATAATATTATATATTATCATATTATAGTATTTGTTAGAATATCATAAATATTATAAATGTAAGAGAAAAAAGGATCCTATCAGTTTAAAAACAAATAACTATGTAGTTATTGCGCATTTCGGAGAATGCGATGTGTGGTGTTGCATCATGCGTAGACCCTCTGAAGGTGAACCGTCTCGGGAAGATTAAAATGGGGGGAGTCTGTGGTGTATCTCCAACGAGTCAGCACGCAATTATATCATAGTATCCAATTTTCTTTCCCTTATTAATAAATATATTTTTTTTATTATAAATAATGTTTCATAAAAGTCACAACAGTGCATTTATTACACGCTTGTACATAAATAAATTTCTTTAACAATTTCACAAGAACAAGCTGCATGATTTTATTAATCATAAAACAAGATATTGTAAGTAGATTGTTATGACCTACTTAATACTTTCAGTGTTAATTACAAAGTCCCATTTTCACACAAATGTCCAATAATAATTAATTCAATAATAATTATACTATTATTACCATCTAAATGGACAAGAAAGCTTTTAAAATTCCATTTTATTGTGGTATCCGCTAACCCTCATCGGCGTGGGGATCGGGAAGAGAACCGAGTGGATGGTAGTCAACGTGAAACGCCTGATCAAAGGCAACCTAAATTACACTGCTGTATTCTAGATCCATACTGGATAAAGTGGGTTTATCAATTTTACTTTTGATTAATAAGAAATAATTATACAGGCTCAATTTACCTCGAACAATATCACAAATCGAAACTCGCATCGAAATCAGAGGATTCCGATCTAAAATTACTGCTTTGATTCCGAAACTCCAAAGCTGCCTACATTATTAGTGCATACGAGTAAGGTTTCCTTTATCGTCGAACCTAAATCGTCATCCCTATCATAAACCGGCTATTCAGT